TATCACCATCATCTCCACCACTATCACCATCATCTCCACCACTATCACCATCGTCATCACCACTATCACCATCATCGTCACCATCAATCACCATCATCGTCACCATCATCATTTTATTTTGAGTTGCTTGCACTCCTTAATGTCCTGGATATTAAACCCTTGCCAGATGACTAGTTCATTGTGATTATTACACAAGCATGAAATAACATTTGCTCCAATTCAGTCCCTCGTACTTCCTTTTTTCCTCCTCTTCTTCCTCCCCCCGTTCCCTTTTCTTTACTTACTGATCTTTCTCCTGTTTATTTATGGTTTTTAAAATTAATGCATTACAGATATACATAAAGGAGATGTTCATATACGTACACAGGCAGGTTTGGTCAGCTTTGCTCCCCCATTCTTCCCTTTTCCTGTCTCTCCTCCCTCCCCCCATCTGCTTTCTCTACTCTATTGATCTTTCTTCTATTTTCATGGAATGCTTCCAACTTCTTTCTTTGTTTCTTTTCTTTTCCCCTTATTTTGGTCTAGCTTCCGCATATGGGAGAAACATTCAACCCTCCTGAGTCTGGCTTATGTCACTTAACACGATGCTCTCTAGTTCATCCATTCACCAGCAAATGCTGTAATTTCCTTCTTCTTTAAGGTTGAGTGAAACTCCATTGTGTAGATAGACCACTTTTTTTCCTATTGTTTTTTTGACAGGCACCTAGATGTTTCCATAATTTGGCCGTTGTGTATTGCACTGCCGTAAGCACTGATGTGGCTGCATTTCTGTAGTAGGTGCTGATTTTAGATCCCTTGGGTGTATCCCAAGGAGTGCTCTAGCTGGTCATGTGGTGTTTCCTTTCCTCATTTTTTGAGGAGGCTCCATATTGTTTCCTAGACTGGTTGTACTAATTTGCAGTCCCAACAATAATGTGTGAATGTACATTTCCCCCACATCCTTACTAACATTTATTGTTATTTGTATACTTGATAATTGCCATTCTGATTTAAAATCAGGAATCACTATATGGGACGGCATCAAATTATAAAGCTTCTGCACAGCAAAGGAAACAATTAAGAGCATAAAGAGAGACACTACAGAAGGGAGAAGGATCTTTGCCATCTGCTCCTCAGATAGGAGCTTAATATCCAGAAAGTACAAAGAATTCAAAAAAATTTGGGGCTGGGGATGTGGCTCAAGCGGTAGCACGCTCACCTGGCATGCGTGCGGCCCGGGTTCGGTCCTCAGCACCACATACCAACAAAGATGTTGTGTCCACCGAGAACTAAAAAATAAATATTAAAAAATTCTCTCTCTCTCTCTCTC